CTCTGAGACATGATTTGATGTGATTAAGGTGCATTTTCTTTAAAAAATTTGACCTTTTTGACCTGCCTCCATCTGTCAAAATCAGAATGACATTTTTTGACATTTTCTATAGATGGCGTCTTCAACAGGTGAGATCTTTTGATTTTCGTGGGGAGTTTTGATTCAAACTTTTTTCACTGACAGAGGACATACTGGGGTATGATGGAATGATAGCAAAACATCTCCACAAATCTTAGTTTTCTCTGGAAGACAGATCGTTTGTATGGGAATACGCATGTTATAACAATTGGTTGGGTTAACCCTATTATCGCCCATTCTGGAGTACCACTTTTTTTTAATTTGGTCATATTTCTCAACTATTTCCAGTTTTTATTGGAACTTTCATTCATTTCAGCTCTCTCAATGTGTTTGACAGAGTTTCATGTCACTATGGTCCATGCTTATCCCAAAAAGTGCTGAATAAGCATTTTTCCGCAAAAAATTTACCCCGTGTTATTTAAATATGTGAATAAATTAGAGAAATTTATTGATTATTTTTCTTAATCACAAAAAATGATTCTAGGCAAAATGTGCTTTCCAGATACAGCTCATTCAGCTCTGTAATACCTCCCCAGCTCAAACTAGACATCTCCCAACACATCCGTCATAGGCTCCAACCAGGAGTCAACTTTGTGTTAGTTTGGTCATATTTCTCCACTGTTTCCATGATTTTTATTGGAATTTTCACAAATTTTGCTCTGGAAGGCTAAATCATTGGCCATGACCTTACCCTAACCCCAACACTATCTCTAATCCTAACTATAGCCTAACCCTAAGCCTAACCCCAACCCCTAACCCTAACCCCAACACTACCCCTAACCCTAACTATAGTCTAACCCTAAGCCAGAGCCTAACCCCAACCCCTAACCCTAACCCCAACACTATCCCTAACCCTAACTACAGCCTAACCCTAAGCCAGAGCCTAACCCCTAACCATAACCCCAACACTACCCCTAACCCTAACTATAGCCTAACCCTAAGCCAGAGCCTAACCCTAACCCCTTACTCTAACCTCAACATTACCCCTAACCCTAACTATAGCCTAACCCTAAGCCAGAGCCTAACCCTAGCCCCTAACCCTAACCCCAACACTACCCCTAACCCTAACTATAGCCTAACCCTAAGCCAGAGCCTAACCCTAACCCCAACACTACCCCTAGCTCTATCTATAGCCTAACCCTAAGCCCAAGCCTAACCCTAACCCCTAACCCTAACCTTGACTTAGCCCTAAGTAATCAAATACAGTGTACAGAGAGATCATTTATCAATTGGGAGACCTATAATTGGAAATATGTGTTGTTTTGGCTTTCTTTGATGAATATTCCCCAGGGTAGAACAACAATTGGAGAAAATGACCAATTTTTCTGTATCCTCCATACTAAATATTTCTCTGTAAACATTCAGAAGCAATAATAATGATTACTATTAGTTCATGTAATTGATAACACATGAATTGTTCTATCATTTGACAAAGTTTAATGACACGATGGCCTGTACTATTTCCCAAAAGTGTAGAATAGGCATTTTTTGCAAAAATCTACCCGTGCTATTTAAATATGCGCATAAATAAGAGATATTAATTGACTATTTCTTTAAATTACAAAAATTGATTCTAGGCAAAATGTGCTTTCCAGATATAGCTCATTCAGCTCTGTACTACCTCCCCAGCTCATACTAGACACCTCCCAACACATCTAGCCATAGGTTCCAATTTTAGTCAATATCCCAGGAAAACATCTAATTGCAGAAAGGAGGTGGGTAACTTTAATCATTCATATATCTGGAAAAAATAGTCGAATCTGCTTGCGGTTTGTATTATTTTACTAGAAAACAACTTGGGGTTACATTTTGGAGGAAATTACAATTGTTACTTAAAGGATGGGTCACTACTAGGGGACACTCAACCATTAGATCCTTCCGCCGAGTGGGAAGACGAATAGATGGCATTATAAAAACAAAAATATAGTCCAATTATTGTAATTACATTAGCATCACCAGTGGTTGGATTTTGGTAAGTACATGAATGAAAAGGTGTATGTATGGACCAACTCTGAGACATGATTTGATGTGATTAAGGTGCATTTTCTTTAAAAAATTTGACCTTTTTGACCTGCCTCCATCTGTCAAAATCAGAATGACATTTTTTGACATTTTCTATAGATGGCGTCTTCAACAGGTGAGATCTTTTGATTTTCGTGGGGAGTTTTGATTCAAACTTTTTTCACTGACAGAGGACATACTGGGGTATGATGGAATGATAGCAAAACATCTCCACAAATCTTAGTTTTCTCTGGAAGACAGATCGTTTGTATGGGAATACGCATGTTATAACAATTGGTTGGGTTAACCCTTAATACCTGAAAAGCAACTTATCTGCTTATTATAAGTTATCAAATAATTTAACAATTAAACAGAAACAATGCATGCCAAACATTTATCTATAATTGTTATATTATGGTTATTTTATAGTTTGCACTTGTATCGAGCAACTGTGTATCGGGCTGTGTATACGGGCCCTTTCTCAAACCCAATATGGGATTTAACACGTCACTTGAGGCAAGATTCATAAACTATATCTCCACGGGCTATAATTTGAAGAACGCCACTGACGGATCTGTCCCTTTTGGATGGGCCGTATTGTTCTTGTGTGTATCTTACCCACGGGAACCTACAAAACAGATATAATTGCATTGTGAAAAGGAAGTCCCGTCTCTATAAAACTTCCTAGAATAAGATTCAAGCAGTGTAAACATCCATATTTGCAAAAATAACGATAAACCACTGTCATTAAGTAGTTGTAGTACCATATTCGTATAGCTTTTGGGAAAGACGATAAAACGCAAAATATGATTGGAATATTTGCTGAAGTCTGGGATCGATGATCTGACAGAAAATTTAAGGAAGGCGTTGATCATGACTGAGCAAAATGAAAGAGCAAAGTAATAATAATTGCAATTTATGTTTATCATTTCAACTATTCCGAGTCAGAGAAATCAAGAATAAAAATGAAACTTTCCTTAGATATCTGTCGTATTGGCTTTACCGGGAAGGCTAGTTCTGGGGGGGGGGGGTAGCGCTTGTTTAAATTTTAAATTATTAAGATCAAAATGGTAAGGTCATATTGAAGAATTTCCAAAATGACAAATTATTGTGCAGTGCGTTAAATTGGAATATCTTTTGATTCTTTTCCACTGGGGTACGCTAATATCCGATCTTAGTACTTCAATATTTTTGTTTGAAAGCAAGATCTTTAATGTAAACATCCGCATTTCAATATATCCTGAGACTATCATAGAATAATTCTGTGAATCCCAAGCACAACCCATTACAATATCAGTCTATAAGTCAATCTGTATTACAACAAATGAATAATAATCCCGAAAACAGTTCAACTATATTTGGCTTTGACTTATTTGTTTGAGAGGGATACGAAATCTAGGAATAAAAGTCACCGACGGTCCAACTTCAACGAACAATCTACATGTACAGACTTATCTTACTAATTTAAATAATTATTTGTCCTCATCGTGATTTGCCCGTCTGATTATACAGGTTTTACTTTCAATTTAGCCTCACTCAGACACACAAATAAAATGTAAAATTATAACATCATATTATAAAAACATTATCCAACCTCGAATTAACACTAATGAACACGATGTGATGACTTTATTACTATCTATGAGGAACCATTAAACAATTATGAACGAAATCCAGATACGTACAGTTTATTCATGAATTTGGAATATAATGTCGCAATTCATTCTAAATATCTGTTAAATATCGAATCTCTTACATTACGAATCTCTTATTAAAATATATTCTATTTATACAATATTGTTTTTCCCGTCATCCGTGATTTCCACATGTTGATTGTATTCTATTTTATCAAATGATCGGAAAGTAATACCATGAAATGAGTAGCATTAGACATGTTAGATTATACGCCCTTGAATTACACTTATAAACACGATGTGATGATTGTTTCATTTACTTAGAGGAACGCATTAACAGATTAATCAATTATGAACGAAATCCAGATACGTACGATGTAAGGATTCATATAGAAGGTAGTTTGCAAATGAATCCTGCCTTCAGGAAGGCAGGATTCATTTGTAAACTATATTGCATATGAATCCTGTATGATTCCTGGAGGCTGGATTCATTTGTAAACTATATTGCATATGAATCCTGTATGATTCCTGAAGGCAGTATTCATTTGCAAACTACCTTCTATATGAATCCTGTACGAATCCTGAAGGCTGGATTCATTTGTAAACTATATTGCATATGAATCCTGTATGATTCCTGAAGGCAGGATTCATTTGCAAACTACCTTCTATATGAATCCTGTACGAATCCTGAAGGCTGGATTCATTTGTAAACTATATTGCATATGAATCCTGTATGATTCCTGAAGGCAGGATTCATTTGTAAACTATTTAAACAGCGAATCCTGTATGAATCCTGGAGGCAGGATTCATACAGGATTCATATGTGCATATGAATCCTGTATGAATCCTGACTCCAGGATTCAGTGGTTTGATTCACATTTTTTGCTGTGCATGTAGCCAGTGTAAATTAAAATCACGAGCAGTTACATGTACAAGAAAGTTTGAGACACAGGTTCACATTTGATAGTTTGATAGAATAGAGTGTTCATTGTTTTTGTGTCACCACCACCACAAGTGGTGACATATTGATTTAGTACTTTCTTGTAGACTGTGTTAACGGCGGTTTGTGTTCGGCATTCGGCGTAATAAATAAGGTGGTGACATTTTGCATTTGAATGCCTTGGTGTAATTTGCTTTATGATTAGTATAAGTTTTATTTACCTCTCATGACTTGCTCAATTCTCTAAAAAAATGAAAAATGGCTTCATTTGTCACCGATGTTCGCAATGCTTCTGCTTTCTAATATTCTTATTTCTACATGTTTGCGTATACAGAGATCTTGCTAGCATGGATTCAGATGGCTACGTGAGTATGGTTGGAAGAATCAAGGACCAGATATGTACAGTGAATACGGATAAGGTATACGCCGCAGAAGTCGAGGCCATCATCATGAAGCATCCATCAATAGAAGACGTTGCAGTATGTTTCATCTGTTGACATTACATTCCAGCCAAAGGAACAATGATTTTTAACCCCTTGAGCTAAGAAAAAATATTTAAATTATTTGAACAGCAAGTTGTACATCTTGTTCCTGTTCAAGTGCCATCGTCGATCAGTCCGCCTTCGACCCATCAATCGAAAATAATTACCCTTCTATTCGTTTAAATGGGCATCCAGATCCGAATGAATCGCGTAAAAGCATCAATGAAAAAGTATTGGTCGTGGCCGAATCATAAACATATATACAAACTGTAGTACGTAGTGCTAAGCCTACATATATTTTTACGTATAGGATAATATTTGTCAGTTATCCAGAAGGATTCACTTTCTCAAATTTAGGTTGTTGGGGTAGTAGATCCCGGTGGAAGAGGAGAGGAAATATGCGCAATGGTAAAGATCAAGCAAAACTTGAATCTAACAACTGAAGAAATATACAAATTCTTGGCTGATAACGTAATTATATTTAGATTATAACACTGAATATAGAATGATGCTGGTGTGTTTTAGACCATAAATTATTTCAGAATTAAGAAAGAAAATTATTTAACGTATTGAATTCAATTATGACTTTTATTTAACATAGAATAAATTGTACTTCAATAGTGACCTGACTCACTGTAATCGCCAGCTTTGCTTATTTTATTTTTCTGATTTTTTGTAGGACTGGGAGAATTTCCAAACACCAAGTCACAT